TTGTCTTTTTATCCCTTGGGTGTTTTTGGCCAGGAGGAGGGAAGCCAAGAGAGCGTGCTGTTTATTGTTTTGTTTTTCTTGCTCTGTCATCTAGGCAAAGCTCCTTTTGGAAAATGCTAGCCTGCGTGAGCACTGCTAAGGAGGGATGAGGAAAGGGGTCTCCATGGTTGATTTGTCTAGTCCCGGTTTCCAGGTACAGCAGGACCAGTGAGGGGAAAGGGACAGACATCTCAAAAAGATGAAAACTTAGCAGGAACCAGTGAAGGGCCACTTGTGCAGCTGTTGGCTCCTGGCGTGCCTGATCCAAGGCCTCTTTTGTCTCCTTGGCTTTCTGTGGACCCCAGGTTTGGGGTTTGCCCCCTTTTGTGGGGCTGATGGGAGAAGAGCTAGGGAGGTCGAGGAGTGGGACTAGAGAACTGTGACAACAGCCCAAATAGGGTAGCTTTTGTCACATTTTGCTTGTTTCCTCCTTAACCGGACTAACAGGCTGTATTACCTTTCTATGCAGGTACGAAAGCTTATGAATTCTTTCATTACACTTGCTTCAGTCCAGAACCCCAAAGTTCTTTAGCTGTCGCTGCTAGCGTTCCCAGGTGCAAAGACTTAGCCTCTGCACTCTGAAGGCGTCACCTTTACTGCCCAGCCACTTTCTTCTGCTCACCTCTTGGTCCCTCACTAGTGTGCTTTCTGTGCCATGGTTCACCACCTCCATGGTTTTAGGAAAATGTGTTGGTGAGCCAGCTTAGTGAAAATCCAGTACGTGAGTGGGGACAGAAAGGATGGAGGAAAATGATTTCGTTCATTCTGATCCCTTGTCTTCCTTTGACACCCAGATAGTCTCCCCTCTTTTGTGGAAGAGAAAGAGAAAGAAAGCCAGTCGGTCTGGTGTTGCCAAGGTTGTTTTGTTTTGTTTTGTTTGTTTTTAATTCCCCCAACAACCTCATTGCTGCCTCCTAGTGAAAGCTTTAGAACTGAAAAAAGACCACTTACTGGGCAGGACTTCAGGGGGAAAAGAAGAAACTGAATTTACACAGACTCACAAACTTTTTTGGAGAGATTGTCTGCCTCTCAGTTTCTGATGAGACAGATTTGTGATCACGGGTATGACGTGGCCACAAGGAAAATACAGAGCCCACACAGACTCTACTGATCAAAAGCCCATCGAACTTATAATCCTCTTTCAGTTTATTTTGCCTTCACTTTTCACTCACACAGACTATTCTCTCTCTCGGTATTTTTCTTCTTTAGAGAAAAAAAAAAAGAACAAAAATATAACCTCATATCAATTCAAGCATAAGATCTGTGGACTTTAAAACTGAATTTACATTTTGGCACGTAAGAAAGAGGATGGCATAAAAACTTTGTGAATAGCTCAGCCAGATTCAGAGGAGAGGTGTGAAGGCTGGTTCATAGTATCACTGCCACCTTGCCTGCCTTTCACTCCCGGCTTACCGTGAGGGCCCTGCGTTGGCTGGGAAGGGTATGGGCCAAGACTGCTGATCCCCTGAAAACCGAAATTGAAAAGCAAATCCCTCCTGTTTTGAAACGTGTGAAACTTAATTTGGTGACTAGGCAAACAAACACACAAGGAGCCATTTTCTTTTTAGGTATGGCGAGCACCTTTGTTTTCTACAGTTCAACCTTCTTGGACTTAAGAACTTTCAAATTTGGGTCATTTAATATCACTAAACAGGCAATACTGCACAATTTATAAAACTATATCCAAGGAAGCTTATGTATTTTACTTTTTATAAGACACTGTACATACAAGCACACATTTCAATGGCATATATGAGCATTTTTCCATGGTAATAATTTATTACAATAGATTTTTAAATGTAAATTTGGTGAAAAGAGTAGATTATAATTTAACTCACCAATATAAATATCTTTTCTCAGTCTTTATCTGTATATGTCAAGATAATTTTCATGATTAGATTCAACTTCATTCACAATGTTTAGTGAATAACAGTTTTTCCAAATCTTGCATCCCCACACATATGTTCTTCATACGACAGTGTATAATATTTTTGTCTCAAACCTACTATACAAGTTAGGTTGAAAGCTCAGGGATGATAATTTTGTAGTTTATCATCACAAAACAGTATATTTAATATTCTAGTCTACGTAATTACACCTGCTAGTGTTTTAACATTACTCCACCCAGAGTCTGTGAATGACAGGGTAGCTTTATAGAGCCTGTAAAGGAATATGGTTCTACAGAAATCAGTTCAATTATTTCAGCAATACAAGGACATAACTAATACAAAGCAAACATTTGTAACTGTGATACTGTTAGAAAAGTAGACTCCCATACATTTCACTATTGGCTCACATTTCTATATGTCACAGCAACTAAAATGAAAGCAATAATCACTATTCTTAAAATGAGCAATAGAACAAGCCTAACTTTTAAATAAATCTAATGGCCCCAAACAGTTTTTATTACTACAATCAGTACTCTGTGTCTGTGTGTGTGCGTATGGGATGAACATATACTGCAGGGAAGTCTTATAGAGTTAACCACTTATAGAACTTCCTACTTGCACACACCACAAGGCGAGGTCTAATCCTAACTGCCAAAGAAGGAAGGCAAGCAAGTTGTCCCTGAAGGACAGGCCAACTTGTGAATAAAACCTCCAGACTGATCATGCTATGAGTGTATTGCAGCATACCAAGAAGTGATAAAAATATGCAAACAAAGTCATGCTGTTTTTGCATCATGTCAATGATAAGGAAAAAACTCTTCTTTCTGAAGGAAACTGAGCTTAACAGCATAAAGCTACTTCAGTACAGAGTGATTGGTATGTATTACTTTGTTCTTTTAGAGCGACCTTTGACACTTTCTGATTCTGAGTACCTTCACCCTATCTGTGCATTTAAGTGAGGTAGTGTTAAGTTAACTGTACCTTAAAGAGATCAGCATAAAGATGGCTCTGTCGACCAGACTAGAAACACAACAAAACACCCAGATTTTTCAAAGAGCTGAACAGTCAGCCAAGGATGCCTATTCTCAGCCTGGGCGAGCTCCTTTCCGAGAAGGTTGCCAAGAGCACGCTCAGTTCCTCCTCCGTTATTTTTCACTTCACTACCTCAGACTGGGTGCGTCACCAGCGCAAGAAAATGCGGGCAGCATCTGTTGCAAGTAACATCTGGACCTCCAAGGAAAATGAGCATTCTTCCTAGGAAAAGTCTCCAACATTTTCTAGAGTGCGTGCCCTCTTCTGCCGTAGTTGGAGAGGCTCTCCTCCTCCCGCGCTCCTCCTTCCTCCGGGCAGAGGATCCCAGAGCCGCGACCAGTGACAGGGTAGCCGGGATGACACCAGGGGTTGCCAACACCAAACAGTGCGCAGACTCCGCGGCGCGCTCCTAGCTCTCCGCTCGCCTCAAACTGCTCTCGAGTGAAGAGGGGTGGGAGGAGGAGTATGGAGGAGGCGGAGGGGATCCAGTTTAATTCGCGGTCCTGGGGGGTGTGGGAGCGGGAGGAGGCTCCGCTGGTCCCTCCTCCCTCCTGGAGTCTTGGGCTCCACCTCCTCCGCATGCCCGCAGATATACACACACTCAGTCGCGGCTGGACATGCACACCCAGCGCCGGCTCCGGGCGCGTGCACACGCAGGTAGCCACACTTACCTGAGCCCGTGCACAGGGCTCTTGCCGCCTCGGGAGCGGCGGAGTGGTGACCTGGGCCAGGAAGGGGCCCACTGTGCTACGGGAGTGGGGGAAGCGGGAGCAGCCCCAGCGCGGACCTGCGAATAGAGGTGATGGCGCGTTTTCCTTAAATCCCCTCCTCCAGCACCTCCGCCCGGCGCCTGCTCGGCTCTGGCCGGAGAAGCCGGGAGAGCCGGGCCCCGGGCGCGGCGCACACGCGGGCGCACGCACCGAGGCGAGCGCGCCGAGAGGGGCGCGGCGGCGCCGGCGCAGGAAACTTGGGCCAAGTTAGTTGCAAGTGCCGGGCGGCGGCCGACACGAGCCGGGAGGGGTCGCCGCCGGTTCCCGGCCCGCTGCAGCGCCGCCCTCCACGCCCGGCGCGCTCCGGGAGCCCGAGTCGGCCGGTGCCCCTGGAGGAGCTCAGAGCGAGCGGAGCCGGCATGGCCCGGGGGACTACGGGACGCGGCGCTTCGGCGAGCCGGAAGGATTTTCCCTGAGGCCCGGCGACCCCAGGCTTGCTCAAGCCTCCAGCCTCCTTCCCGGACCGGCAGCCGGAGAGGAAGACCGGCGAGGCAGGTGCTGGGGCGGCAGACATCTCCCCCCCAGAACCCCCAGCCGATTGGGGGTGGGGGGGATTCCCACCAGCGAGCCCTGCGGCGAGTCAGGAAGACCGGCTGGTGCTGCTGTATTTGTATTTATATCCATTGCTGCGCTGTTCCCTTGCTGTGCCCGGACCCTCCTCCGCCTACCCCTCCTCTTCCTCCTCCTGGGCCACCTCCCCTCCTTCCCCACCCCCATCTGCTACTGTCAAATGAGAAAGTCACCGAGGAGAACCCAAACACTCCAGCCGCCGAGGGCCCCCTTTGGCACTTGGCAGCACGCGGCGGCGGGCTCCTCGGCTCAACTTGGTGGGGTCTTCGCGACGCAACTTTCCGAGCTGCTCTGCATTTAAGAGAGAAAAGACCGAGGAGGAGGAGAGCTCTGCTGGGCAGCGACTACCTGCGGGGAGTTCTCGAGCAAAGGCAGCCGGAGAGGAAGGACAAAAAGAAAGCAAAGGGCAAACTGCCACCGTGGGTTGGGGGCACCGCCGAGAAGTTCCTGTGCCCGAGAGGATTTTCCCCGGCGATCGGCAAGAGAGACCAGGGAGGCCGGGGCGCGGCGCGGCCCTGGGCTCGGCCCCCAGCCCCCACTTCCCGGACGGGAGCGACGCCGGGGCGCGAAGTGGGGCGCGGCGAGCGCGGGCAGGCCGAACGGGTCCCCGCGGACAGCCAACATTGATTTCCTCCGGGCGGAGGGCGACGGCCCGGGCGGCGGCGGCGGCGGCGGGCTGCAGTCGCGGCACGGCGAGAGCATGTCCAAGCCGGTGGACCACGTCAAGCGGCCCATGAACGCCTTCATGGTGTGGTCGCGGGCTCAGCGGCGCAAGATGGCCCAGGAAAACCCCAAGATGCACAACTCGGAGATAAGCAAGCGCCTGGGCGCCGAGTGGAAGCTGCTCACCGAGTCGGAGAAGCGGCCGTTCATCGACGAGGCGAAGCGTCTGCGCGCCATGCACATGAAGGAGCACCCCGACTACAAGTACCGGCCGCGGCGCAAGCCCAAGACGCTGCTCAAGAAGGACAAGTTCGCCTTCCCGGTGCCCTACGGCCTGGGCGGCGTGGCCGACGCCGAGCACCCGGCGCTCAAGGCGGGCGCCGGGCTGCACGCGGGCGCGGGCGGCGGCCTGGTGCCTGAATCGCTGCTCGCCAATCCCGAGAAGGCGGCCGCCGCGGCTGCCGCCGCCGCCGCGCGCGTCTTCTTCCCGCAGTCGGCCGCCGCCGCTGCCGCCGCCGCTGCCGCCGCCGCCGCCGGCAGTCCCTACTCGCTACTCGACTTGGGCTCCAAGATGGCAGAGATCTCGTCGTCGTCGTCCGGCCTCCCGTACGCGTCGTCGCTGGGCTACCCGACCGCGGGCGCCGGTGCCTTCCACGGCGCGGCGGCGGCGGCTGCAGCGGCGGCCGCGGCCGCCGGGGGGCACACGCACTCGCACCCCAGCCCGGGCAACCCGGGCTACATGATCCCGTGCAACTGCAGCGCGTGGCCTAGCCCCGGGCTGCAGCCGCCGCTCGCCTACATCCTGCTGCCGGGCATGGGCAAGCCTCAGCTGGACCCCTACCCCGCGGCCTACGCCGCGGCGCTATGACCCCGCGGGGCCGCCTCGCGAGGACCGGTGTGCACACGTGTACATATGTATAGGTACGAGCTCCGCGGCCGCCCCGTGCGCCCTCCCGCGACGGGGGCCCCGGTTTGTATGTACAGAAGATGTATAGGTGCAGGCAGAGGCAGAGATGCCAGTCGGGGCGCGAGTGGCAGAGCGCGCGAGTGCTCGGGCGAGTGTGCGTGTGGATTCACAGGATCATTTCAGACCCGCACTGCGGCAGCCCACTTTAAGGAGGGCGGCCGTATCCGACAGCAGTTGATGTTTGCTTTGCACTTCGGAACCTGTTGCGTTTTGACCCACAGAGGTGGAGGAGTAACTTTTTGACATGTTGGGCTTTGCAGTTTTGTTTGTTGGAAGTTAATTGTCGGTTTTGTTTTTGTTTCTCATTATCTTTTTTTCTTCCCCCTCCTGGTCTGTGTCGCATGCACTCTGTTCAAGTGTTAGGTCTGAAATGGCTGGCACAAGGGAAAAGCTGATCTGTGTCACTAGTTTCTCAGAGCGACATGGCTCTGAGCGGCCTTGCTCCCTATTTGTACTATTTGACTTTGCAAATCTCTGTTCTCTCAAGCAGAACTCACAGACCGGATCCATTCTTGACCAGTGACCGGCTCGAATCTGGCCTTTTGTATGTGAGATGATCACGCTTTCTTTTGTTTATCACGTCATATGCAAATGAGAGCAAGAGCTCTTAAGAGCAAGGAATGCAAACAGGAAATACGCGCGAGATGAAAAGTTGTCAATTGGATTTTATCCCTTAGGAAAAAAACCCAAAACTGATAACTCTCCCTGAGTCCACTTGCTTGGATTTCTGACACAGTTTACAGAAAGATAAAAGGCACTGTTCCTATTTTCCCCTTATGGCCGAGTTCACCTTAAGATTGTAAATGTGTCTATGTCCGTGAAAACATGGAGTCTGAAAATGTGTTATTTGCGTTGCCCTAAATTTGAGTCGGTTTTAGACTCTAAAGCATTTTGAGGGAATGTCAAAGTTAAGTTTGAAAAATTGCGGGACTATTTCAGAATCGCAATTTTATCTAAGATTAAATCAGACTTTTTCGTCTGAGTGGTAATGATATATTTATTATTTAGTAAAACTGAAAAAAACCAGAATTGTTTGACAGATGTCTCTGATTTTCAGCTAGCATTTCTTCACCAACTTGAACCGCTTAAATGTGTTTTGGAGTTCCCTCCCTAATTAGCTTATTTTTTAGATTACCTGCAATTCATTTGCAAATTATGATAAAACACATTTTAGAGAAAAGAACCTCAATTATAGCTTTTTGTTTCTTTTTAAATGTATATATTTTGACTAATGTTTGTGAATGAAGTTGGCTAACATGTATTTAGTTTCATTTTGACTTTATGTAATATAAAGTTTTAAAAAGTTTAAGTATTGGTTTTAACCTTTATGTGTAAATGGTTTTCTTGTGTGATCTTCTAATTTAATATTAGACGTCTAAACTATATCTGTAAATTAGAATCCGACTATCACTCTGTTCATTTTTTTTGAACAAAGAGTTTAAATAAAGCCTGAACCAGGGAAAAGAGAAAATCCTCTATTTCTTGTTGAGTTCCTAACAAGATTTTTATCTGAATTGCCCTTACGTGCCTGGTCCAGGTGAAGTGTAAGGTATCCTCCAAAGGCAGGCTTTGTTTCACTTTTGAATAGATTTACTAGGAAATCTAAATCAAGCCATTGTTATTCAGAGCCAAAAACCTGATTTATCACATTTTTAATCATGAATAGGAAAGAAGATAAAAAAAAAAAAAACCCAAGTAGTTGTATTATCTTGGCGGGGGGGGGGAAAGGTTATTCATGAACCAGTAGAACAGAACCCATTGAAAACATCCAGACGGTTCAAAGCATTTCACGAGTTTCCAGTAACATTTTTAAGAGAGGAAAGTTGTCTGACCACTTTATCTTGTTAGTGGGAGAGCCCCACCACTTAAGTCAGTGTAATGTGGTCACATATCTTTGGCATATTCCTTGTTTACACCTTAAAGAAGATTTTATTTGGAAGGCTAATCACTGCTAACGACGTTGTACAACTTTTGGCCTCTTTAGGGCTTTATTCTGTCATACTAAATGGCATTAAAATATAATTATTACAAATTCTGCAGGAGAGGGTTGAATTTCCAGGGCTAGACAAGTTTTCACATAAAGGATTTTCATTTTAGAAAGGAGATGACAGGGCACCAGGAAGACTATCAGAGAAAAAATAAATTAACTGTAGGAAGATCTTGATTTTCTGCCTACCGAGATAGAAATTCTCAAGATACAGGACTCAACTAGTCCTAAACTAGTTTCCCCATTGACAGAGACCATCTCTGGGAGCTGCACGTCTTTATAAGCGACCCAACTCTTTAAAGTCATTGTTTTCCCCCAACAGAATAATATTTTAAAAACCATGAAAAGTTTTGGAAATGTGAGAAATAGGCTCTGCTGGTTTGACCCTGATTCACTAATTAAAACGATCCCTCTCCTGTTATTCCCTGAGCTCCTTGCAATATTATAAGTTAATTCATATGGTTCTGAGCGATTATGCAAAACTAATTTGGACTGTCCAGGGGTAATTATCCCTGACACGGTTAATTAAATCCTTTCAAGGCTTCGTCTTTCCCTTTTGTAGCAGCCCATCACTTCTCAACACGGAACTTCCTGCGGCTTGCTGGAAATCACCCCAGCCCTAAATCTTAGTTACCTCCCTGAGCCTTCCAGCTTGGCCCCACCGGCCCGAAGATTCCCCGCCCCCTCCCACCCCCTCCCTTTTTCCCAAAGATCAGCGCTTTCTGAGAGCAACGCTCCGGAGTGTTGATGAATAAGAAGAGGACTAGAAAGATGAGTAAGGGGAGGGGGAAAGCTGCCGGGGGTGCGCACACAGGGTCACGTCGCCAACAGATTGTGCGGCTGTTTGGTTGGTTGAGTATATATATCCACAGGCCTCCCGGGGGTGACCAGTTTATCACCCCTTAGACTCCGGTGTTCTTGCCAACAAGGTGCGTCTGGGGAAAGCCTCCCTCCAAGTTAGACTGTGCAGAAGTAAGTGGGAGCGACTCTAGGGCAAGAGCGTGGAGAAGGAGCTAGGTGTGTGTGTAGAAGTCTGAAAGGGGCCCACAAATGCAGAGCTGGGACTAGGCAAAAAGCTGATGCGGGCTTGAGGTCTCTCTCTCTCTCTACCTCTCTGTCTTTATCCCTCTCTCTTTCTTCTCTCCTCCCTCCCTCTCTCTCTCCCTTTCCTCCCTTCTTACATTTTCCTTTTTTAAGGTTTAAAACATCCACGACGACATTTTTTAGGTAGTCACGGTTGCCCAAAGGCTTTGAACAAGCCTCACATCTGAAGGGCCAGGCGTGTTGCCTTCAGGCTTTGCGCAAACAGGTGGAATTTACTCTGCCTGAGCAATAGGAACCGGAGCTGGGGGACGCTGCCGTGCGAGAGATGGCTTCCGGGAAGCAGTGGAGCTGGCGGCTATTGTCACTTCTCTTGACAGTTTCCTCCCCCTCTGCCCCCCCTCCCCGCCCACCGCAAGAAACAGGAACAAAACAGCGCCGGTCTCCCTCTCATCCCCCGACCCCGGGCGGCCTCCGCGAGGGGCGCAGAAGATGGAGAGACGATCTGACCGTCTCCCCGGAGCAGATAGGGACCGGCGCGCCAGCCAATCAGAGCGCGGCTCGGCGCGGGCGCTCCCCGCCGCCGCCCCCTGCGGGCGAGGGAAGTTCCCCGCAACTCGCCCGCCCCAGTGTCGGTGTCTTTCTTGCGCCCACAGCCCAGCGGAGGCAGAGAGAGCGCCGTCCAAACTTTATTAATCTCTCCCCCGTTCTTTCTCCCTCAGCCCGGTGCATCTCAAAGGTCAGCCCTCTTCTTTTAAAAGACTGATATTATTAATTCACTGACAACCCCCCCCATTTCTTTTTTCTCTCTTGCAGGGGGAGAAAAGGGGGAAGATCGTGAAAGAGCTTTTTTTTCCCCCTCCATCCTTTTTTTTTTTTTTTTGTCCTTCAGTGGGAGCGTTTAGACAGTCGAGGAGGTTTTGTCCGGGAACAAAACGCAGGGTTGGGAGGTTTTGTGAGAGTGTTGTTTGTTGAAGTGGACCTAAGAAAAAGCGGCGGCTTTCTCCTCATTGTGAAGAAACCAATCAGTGGTATTTGGAAAACTGTTAGCATTGTGCACTTCTTCTGTGTCCATTGTGAGGCGTTTCTTTTCACAAGGTTTTTTTTTCAGCCGATCCAGCTGGCCGGAATGAATAGCAGTGCAATGTGTACACGCTTTGTCCCTCCGGCCTTCAAGTAGCCCCCATTGAATAGACTAAGTTGACACTGCGTGACAGTGAAACAACATAATAAAAAATACATGAGCCCCTGAATAGGAGCAGGCGCATAAATAAATAAAATGGGTGACCAAAACTGGATAAACTGAATGACAAAACGGTGAAAGGGGAACAAAAAGATATTTAACACGCTAGATTAGCATTAGAATGCGATCTACAAGGCAGAACAATTGATGAATAGGTTTACCGGCCAAGAAAGAAATGGACTAAATGCCCTTTGAATAGATATGCTTTTTGCAAGGGCTTTGAATAGATATGCTTTTTGCAAGGGTTGAATGGGAAAAGGTAAAGATGAAGCTATGCAAATGAGCGGGGGAACTTTTTATATATATTCTTTAAACACACACACACACTGCGGGAGGAGAGTGCTGCCTCGGGATGTTTATAGAAGCAATAATTGCCATTATTAGCATTGTCTGCAGCAGATAGAAATTGAACAGGTTGGGATAATATAGGGTAGCAGTAATTATTCTTCTAATTAATGGTGCTTTGGTACTTGAAAAAAGAAAAAAGGAAAGGAGAAGTAAAAGTTATGCAGAAGTTATGTTTCCTTGTGTCCGTTTGCCCAGCGTTGGAATCTGTAGAGCAGCAAGTCTGGCGATTCCAAGATGCCTGCTGATCTTAGAACATTTCAGGGAGCCAATCCTTAGGCTCTG